TTCACATTCACGTAGAAAACAATACAAAGATAACTGTTTCACATTCATGTAGAAAACAATACACAGATAACTGTTTCACATTCATGGAGAAACAATACACAGATAACTGTTTCACATTCATGTAGAAAACAATACAAAGATAACTGTTTCACATTCATGTAGAAAACAATACACAGATAACTGTTTCACATTCATGTAGAAAACAATACAAAGATAACTGTTTCACATTCATGTAGAAAACAATACAAATATAACTGTTTCACATTCACGTAGAAAACAAATACACAGATAACTGTTTCACATTCATGTAGAAAACAATACACAGATAACTGTTTCACATTCATGTAGAAAACAATACACAGATGACTGTTTCACATTCTTGTAGAAAACAATACAAAGATAACTGTATATAACATATGAACGACACTAGGGAAAAACAAAACAGTCACGAAGGTTTGTCATTATAATTAACTCTAATTATTATTAACTGTACTTTTCACTGAAGATTGTTATCAACTTTTCGTATACAAGTTATTACATAATCAGTCCGAGCTACAGAAGATGGAAAATCACTAAACTATCACTCCTATTAATAACACACGACATGTCCTATAGGTTGTTTTTTGGCCACAAGACACACTACAGTATGCTTTGATATTCACGAAAGAACCAGACTAGACTTCGTACAATGGTGTAGTGTGTGTGTGTATTATATAGTGTTTTGAGTTGTATTTTACTCACACAGTAAACCTATGTTTATACAAGGTTTGAAGGATATACAACATTGATGTTACTAATTTATTTTTGTTTGTTTGTTTTTAATTATGCACAAAGCTACACAAGGACTATCTGTGCTCTGCCCACCACGGGTATCGAAACCCGGTTTCTAGCGTTGTAAGTCCTCAGACATACCGCTGTGCCACTGGGGGGGGGGGCTAATTTATTCCTTTGAATTTTAATATAATATTAGTTTCGTTCATTACAGAAAAAAGAACTTAATTGAATAAGTTTACAAATAACAGTTAATGAATTCTTTCAAAGAGGGCGCTAAAAGTGTAAAACTTCCTTTCTATTTCGGGATACAACTTGTGAAGAAAGCATTTGAAGTTTCAGAGAATGAGTGAAGTAACACAATGGGCTACTAATTTATCTCTAATCAACCCGTGATAAGTCTGAAATGTTTTCCTAACCAATATACTATATGCTACGGTAAGAGTTCCATATGGCACCCCCCACTCAATTTTAAAAAAAATTCATCAAAGTAATATCTTTGTATTAATAAATCATATTAATAGTATGATCTGATAATCTTAATACGTTATTATACCACTTACTTCATTAATTAGATGTACAATCTTCTTGGGGATAAACTTTACAAACTAGTGTAATCTACTAAAGATATACTATATGTAACATTGAGGATATTTCCTAGTGTAGTCTACTAAAGATATACTATATGTAACGTTGGGAATATTTGTTAGTCTAATCTATTAAAGATATACTATATGTAACGTTGGGGATATTTCCTAGTCTAATCTACTAAAGATATACTATATGTAACGTTGGGGGATATTTCCTTTTTCTGAATTTTACTGTCAGTAATTTTTGTTTCTTTGTAGTTTAATGGTATAAAGAGCATTTTCTATTATTTTATAGACCCCCAGTGTCTCACTGAAAAATCAGAAGGCTTATGACAGTTTTGATAGCCGCGGTTGACAGAGCACAGATAGCTTCTTTAGTATCTGTAAAAATAAACAAACAATTATTTTCTGTACACTATGAGAACAAGTCGTTTGCAGTAAGTCTTGTAACTAGGTGTAATCGATTTCAAATGAGGATGAGTTTATATAACTTTTTGTTTTTATAATAATATACGAGTGACTTGAAAGAAGTCTGGAAATCGGTGAATTGCTATTGCCGACAGATATTTCTGAAAGAGGGTTGACAAATTGCCCTATGGCTTTTTGTTACAGTTTTTGGTATGTGCACGCTAAGAACGTTTCACGGGCCCAACTGCACCGAGAAAGACAGCAGGGTGGGGTGGGTTGCTGAAAGAAGAAGGGTCTGTCAATTATTTCCCGAAGCACATGAAACCTCTCGGCTATCCTGGCTATATTTTATATTAGTAAAATACTCAATACAGAAGATTTTTTTTACAGGCATGCCTAAAATATGTATTTGTAGTTATTGCGTTATAATCATGGAAAGAGTTCCATATGGCACCCCCCACCCAAAAATTGTAGAATTGCCTGGATAAAAAAGATTCTGAAAAGGGTTTATTTTAAGGGGCGTATTAGAAAAATTGGGGCGTGGCTTTGACAAGTATTTGTGTGAATCCATGTGGAGAACATTATATTACAAGACGAAAATATCCCCAACGTTACATATAGTATATCTTTAGTAGATTAGACAAGGAAATATCCCCAACGTTACATATAGTATATCTTTAGTAGATTACACTAGGAAATATCCCCAACGTTACATATAGTATATGTTTAGTAGATTAGACTAGAAATATCCCCAACGTTACATATAGTATATATTTAGTAGATTAGACTAAGGAAATATCCCCAACGTTACATATAGTATATCTTTAGTAGATTAGACAAGGAAATATCCCCAACGTTACATATAGTATATCTTTAGTAGATTAGACTAATAAATATCCCTAACGTTACATATAGTATATCTTTAATAGATTAGACTAGGAAATATCCCCAACGTTACATATAGTATATCTTTAGTAGATTAGACTAATAAATATCCCTAACGTTACATATAGTATATCTCTAGTAGATTAGACTAGGAAATATCCCCAACGTTACATATAGGATATGTTTAGTAGATTAGACAAGGAAATATCCTCAATGTTGCATATGGTATATCTTTAGTAGATTAGACTAGGAAATATCCCCAACGTTACATATAGGATATGTTTAGTAGATTAGACAAGGAAATATCCTCAATGTTGCATATGGTATATCTTTAGTAGATTAGACTAGGAAATATCACCAACGTTACACATGGTATATCTTTTGTAGATTAGACTAGGAAATATCCCCAACGTTACATATGGTATATCTTTAGTAGATTAGACTAATAAATATCCCTAACGTTACATA